TAATTTTTAATAATGAACCTGTATTATTCTGTAACTTTAAAAATTTTTTTAAATCAATGTAGTGATACAAAGGTAAAATAGCAACTAGGAAATGAAAATTTTTGCTGTGGTGTTAAGTGCCTAAAATCAAACCTAAGTTCCAAATCTCAACTCTATTTAATAATTGTGTAACTTTATGCAATTTAAGTTATTAAACAAGGATAATCATCCCATACAGGTTGCTATGAAAATTAAATGAGATATAAAATAAAACAACAAGAGTTCCAGGCACAGAGTAGTTCCTCAATAAATGCTAGTTGCTAATCTCTGCTGCCTTCATATCATGTGCTTCCAGAAGACACCTAGGTTACCTCATGGTCTCAAAGCATAGCTTTACCCTAAATGGTCTTCTCTCCTCTGCCTGCCCCTCCCATCCCTCTTCAAAAAATAAATTTAAAAAAAGGAAAACAATTGCTTTTCACTTCTCATCCTCTGTAGTTACACCACAGCCTGAGTCCACCCATATTCCTACAAAACAAGAAATGAGCCTGGCTCACAGAAATTGCTCCCCTTGCCTCTCTCAACAAACTGGGATTACCTCCCTAAGTCTGCAAAGTAGTCCAAACACCCCTTCAGCTGTTTTTTTGTGAAGAGATTAAACACTTCTCAGAGCCCTATTGAGAAGGTTCACTTGACACACCAATGTTGTATATAAAGACAATGCCATTTTTCTAGGCATATGATCAAAATGGAGGTGGGCTATTCTAGATTATTTGCTGAACTGTAACTATAGGCAGATTTGCAAAAATTTTTTCAAGGACAAAAAGAGAAGTAGGCCTCCGACCATAACAACGATCCTTCTAATAATATTCTTCAAATATTAAAATAATACTTTTAGGGGAGAAGGAGAAGATGATAATGATTATGCTAAAATTGGGAAACAAATCAAAATTCAGTTTCATGTGATTAAAAACAAAAAGGAGACTTAACGCTATCATAGCTGGCATTAACATCACAGCAGCAAAAGTTGAATTTACTCAAAATCAAAATGCCAATTCATTCATTCTATCGAATTTTAGTGCCTGATATGTAGGCATACTAATAACCCTTCAAAATATCAGTTCCAAAAATCTTAAACATTTACAATCTGACTGAGTCTTTTTCCAATCAAGATAATATTCAATACTACTTTCAAATGCCTTCATAATGGTTTCATAATGAGTTTGCTAATGTTACTGATTTGCAGTACTGTTCCCTAATATTCTTTGGCTAATAGTGGTTCTTCAGGCTAAACACACATTGAGTAGAAACTTTAGAGGTTAAGATAATTTTGGAATCTGAAGAATCCCAAATGTTTAAAAAAGAGAGAGAGAGAAAGAATTGGTAGCAATTGATAAGGAGAACACAGACAAAAAACGGACACAAATTTTGTCAAAACCAAAGATTCTGAAACTGATTGAAAAATTTCCAACTAGAACTTAATGATTCATCACAATCAGATAGTACTAACTTAAATATGTATCTTTACTCAGATATATTAAATAATAAAAACTAGGAGACAATGCAAGATCCCAATAATGAAATATCGAAAGACCCAGAACTAGACGTGAACGAAGAAAAGTCAACAATTCTTTACTGGCAATCAAAATGTATATCTTCCAAATATAATCATTATTCCCATATTTAAAGATTTCAAGTATAGAGAGAGTTCAGGTTAGGACACAGAATACCACAAGAAATTGTCACTTCCACTCTAAAAATGAGAAAAAGTCATAATATTTTTTTAAGCCATCCAAGAGTTGAGCTGGCAAGCCAACCAAGTAACCTGAATTCCAAAGTTTGACAAGCCTCTCCAAAGACAGAGTGACACATACAGTTTCACCTTTGGTAAGGTATGAAAGGGAGAGGTAACAACTGAAATTTTAATGAATTCTTAAAGATTTCAGGTATAGAAATTTCAAGACTTATCTTGACAGAGAATAATCCTTAGAATCCTTCCTAATAATGAAACAATTTTTAAAAAAGGAATAGCTAACATTTGATGTGTATTTACTATATTCTAAGCACTGTGCTAGTATCTTCCATGCTTTATTGAGTCACACCTCTCAACCTAGTAAGAAAGGACTATTAATATCCTTGCTTAATAGAGGAGAAAACATCACAGAAAAGGTAAGTAATTTGTACAAGTTCCCACAGCTAGTGAGTGGCAAAGCTGGAACTCAAACTGAGGCATCCTGACTATAGAGCCTGGATCACAATTATATGTCTCTTCTCTAATCCAGACATATTTTCTAAATGCAATTTAAATTGTTTAAATTTCTTTTGTTCAGTCTTCATAGTGAAATTAGAAACATTTTCCTATTATGCTTTTAGATATATATAGAATGCTAAGGAAGTCATGTTTTATATAGAATTTAGCTAAAACTTTTTAACTTGAAGGTAATATGGCCATTACTTAATTTAGGGGTAATATATGACTCTAATCTACATGGGAAAAGTAGAAAAGAAAACAGAGCAAATTAGCACTCTTTTGTTCTTGCCCCAATCTGTTCATCACAAAGTATTAAACTGCAGAGAATTAAAGATCTACTTTAAAATTAATCAAGGGGAAGGATCCTTTTGAAATTTGATTTGGCAGATAGAAACTTCTTGCTATGTAATTGTTACACTAAGCTAAATAACAAAAGAAAAAACTAAAGGAATTTTAAGATTTACTTCATGTTATGATGGAACTAAAGAAAATGCACATCACCCTTCTATTTAAATAGAATCTCTTTTGTCATATTTAATTTCCAAAAATTACACCAATATAACCACTGATTGTATATATACATTATATATATATACATATATATATATATATATATAATCAGTGATTATAATAATATATAAGTGTAATATATACATACTTTGTAGTCAACATGATTGCCAGTCCTTTCTGGCCTCTTCTGTGCCCTGATAATATTGATCACCTTGTAACTATGCTGTGGTTTTGACTCTGCATAAATGGCATTGCTCTTGCCTCTCCCAAGCATCTCATGTTATATGGTAAACACTTTCTCAATTTATGAAGTCACTTTGTATTCTATCTGAAGCTTCCAATAAGTACCAGAAATTACTCTCCCTAATGTCATTTGCAGTAATAAAAAAAGTGATTATTTTGTCCTAGATACTGATCTAGTAATTTTAGTTCTAAAAATATGGTATATCTCTCTTATTAGAATGGAACATGAGGTGTTCTGAGTAAGATTAAACTGGGAAAATAAAACACCCTACATCAGTAGCAATCATAATGCAGTTCTCTAAGAGACCAGACAGTAATCTTTATGTAGCTAGCAATCTCAAGTCTTCAATGGACACAATACCTTATATTAAAAAGAATCACATGTACCAGTTTAAACTTCTACTTACCATATTAAGAGAACAGCATGCTTAGAAGGAAAGTGAATAGAAAAAAAATTATGACCATATTAGCAAGCTGAAGCATTTCTGTCACCAGGGCAAACTGACAGTGAAATATCTATTATAGTATTAGAAGACTGACATTCAAAATTGACAGACTCTCCCTGAAATCCTAGAGAGGACCTTGTGTCCAGTAAACCAGATACTGTAAGTACTGTATTCTAGTTCTCAGGGGACTCTTAGCTAAACCCGAGACTGAACAAGGATATTTCTCATCTATGAACTTAGATTCATCTCATCTATTAGACCTCCCTGTCTATGACATCTATATCTAAAGTGGCCTCTCTCAATTACTTTGTATCTCAAAACTGTTTATTCTCATCATGGCATTTTAAATATTTTCTTTCGTTTATCCTTTCTCCTCTATGAGCTTGCAAACTCCCTCTGTCTTGTTTACCTTCTTTCCTAAAGGAAATTATAATTTTTTTTTGTTAAACATATTTTCTCTAATGAGTTGCAATCTTAAGGGAAAGGACGTAGACTCAACAAAGGCAACTGCTTCCTCCTCAGCCAAAGTAACATAAAGGTAACTATATAAAAAAATCAAGAGACTGTACTTTAAAATATTTCCCATACAATAACATTAGTTTAATAAGTTGTGAACACTCAACCTAGTATTCTTGACCTAGTTTCAGTCAAAATCAATTTGTGACTAGATGCCTTTACACCAATCCCACCTACTTTCAAGAACAAACTAAAGGTTCCTGAATTCCCTCCTGTCAAGAGGTAGTTCACTTTGGCTAAGGACCAAGCCTGTAACAAGCACATACCCGGGGCAAGGGAGGTTTAAGTCTACTACAGAACGAGTCATTTTTTCAAAGATATACGATATATGTCATACAGCATACTGAACAAATATTCTAATATGGGAGAAAGCTGGCCTGCTTACTTCTCAACTTTACAAATCCTCTTTATTTTTATTAGGGTTGGAATTCATCCCTTTTCCCTCTTCCACTGTTTTCCTAGGGTCACAGTTGTACACACAGTTGTTTATAGTTCGCACATCACTATATGGTTTTCGCATGGTCATCCTACCTGGAATATGGCACGCTCCTGACTCTAACCGCCCCCCAAACTCTTCTCGACAGAGACAGGCTAAAAGCAGCTTCCTGCTCACACATGCTAAAGGACGCAGCCGGCTGAGCGAGAGCAATCAAATGGCTTTGCTGATGGCCCCTTAGGTTGCACCAGTAAAGCGTTTGCAAACATAACAGTCACCTTATTTATTCCTATGCTAGCATTTATGAGACTTGTCAAGGCTGCAAGGCCATGCTCAGCTTTCCCACAGCACACAGGAACCACTCGGGTCTTCTGCTCCCCTAAAATTAAACCACCGCCTCTCGTTCGAACTGCGCTTTAGCTTACAAAACGCTTTCACGCGCGTCATCTGATTTGACCCTTACTCCAAGCCTGTATGTCGTTGTCGTCGTGCCTATTTTACAGATGCGGGGAGGATCCTGTCTACAGACACCATCCTAAGGGCCACCCTCTCCGCGGTGGAGGAAGCTTTCTGGCAAAGGGAGGAGCAGGTGTGACGCCCGCGGCTCGCAGCCTCTCACCTGGCCGGCGGCCGGCCTACGGCTTCCACTCAGCGGCCAGGGACGTGGGCCCCGCGGCGGCGACGGCCGCTCGGGTCTCCCGGGTCCCCTCTATCAACGCCGGCGCCTAGCCACGGACCCCAGACCCAAAGTACCTCACGCGCTCCCGCTGAGGCTCACCGTCCGATCTCGCCAGACAGCGTCTGGAAGGGACCGGGAAACTCCGCGTCCGCCACAGCCGTCCAAGGTCTGGGACCCACACTCGCAGGCGACAGCGGTGGCGGTCACCAGAAGGCCTGCGGGCTCCCAGGAGACGAAAACCCGTCCAGTCAAGCGGCTGACATTTCCCAGTCAGCCGAAGCACCGCCCACTTCCGCTTCCCCGCCTACCCCGTGGGCGGTCCAGGCCCGCACCCGCGGGGGCTTGTGGGTATCGTGAAGGCGGGCAAAGTTGCAAGGGAAGGAAGTAATGGCGAGTCGGCCTACTCGTCAGGACAGGAACTACAAGTCCCAGCAGGCTGCCGGGCTGCAGAAGGCGGCCGTGGAGGAGAGCGGGCAGAAGAGCCCTGCGCGCGCGGCGGGGAAAGAACGTTGCTAGAGTTCGCGGGTCTAGCTGCTGGGGGCCGGAGCCGCACGTCGCACGCCCCGCGCGACAAAGCGGGAATCCTGGAGGCGGGCAGCTTTTCAATTAATGCACGTATTTAAAACTCCAGAACCTGTGGACGCCATGCACAGGTAGACCGATTGCAGAAAGGGGCAGAGCATGAATGAACCGTCTTAATTCTTTTAGGCCTTGAATGTTACAATTTAATAATATTGTTACTAATGCTGTTAGGAGTGGTTGCTTAGCCCCTTCCTGGGGATGGTGTGGATGGATGCATGCTTTAGTGCGGGCATCAGCGTGCGGTTTTATTGGGCTTCCCTAATTGGGCTTTCCTGCTATCATTTTCAATCACTATATCATTGCCCTACCTCTTTCCTTGTCTCTTCCCTCCACTGGAAGAAATTCTTGAGGCCTTCTGCATTATCGTAAATCATGCAGCCTTTTCGATTTGTTTGGTTATTTTTTCTTTCATTCTTGGGTACTCGCTGCACGCACGTAAAAAATACTGCCGTGAAAGTTTTCTACAATGCATAACTTGTAGCTTCTTTTATGCCTACCTTGGAATTACTTATGAATGTGTTTTCGAAAGGAACGGGGGGTATTGTGCACTTCTGCAGGAAACACCTCCAGGAGATTCCAGACCAGAGTAGCAACGTTAGCACCAGCTTCACGTGGGGATGGGATTCCAGCAAGACTTCTGAACTGCTGTCGGGCATGGGGGTCTCCACCCTGGAAAAGGAGGAGGTGGACAGTGAGAACATTCCCCAGGAACTGCTCTCAAACCTAAGCCATCCGCAGAGCCCTCCACGGAAGCGGCTGAAGAGCAAAGGGAATGACAAAGACTTTGTGATCGTCCGCAGACCTAAGCTAAATCGAGAGAACTTTCCAGGTAAGGTATGAAGGTAAAACTGTCAGTTATGTAATGGGTGGATTGAACAATTTCGTTGGTAAATCTTTATTCGGGGATCATAGGATGGGTCCTTTTAAAATTTCCTAATTCCGAAGCTATTTTCCAATGAAATGGGGCGTGTCGTTGTTATTGGAGTCTATAGGAATCTTGATAGGTATACTAGGGGCCTTCAAGAAGTTCGTGGAAAAATTCATATTATCTTTTATTTATACCATGAACTTTTTGAAGTACCCTCGTATATCTTTTGGTGCACAATAGACTCGAAAATTTTAACCGGTAGAGTACATTCCTGCCTTTTTTTTTGGCGGCTGGCCGGTATGGGATCCAATCCTTGACCAACTGAGCTAACCAGCTAGCTTCCTGCCTTTTGCCTTAGAAGGTAATCTGCCTGCTCAAAGGCCAGATCAGTGCCACCGATAAATGGGAACGTAGTAATCTTTTTGTAGGATTCCTTTGGCTTATAATCTGCTGCTTTGTACCCCTGGGTGAGCTTTTGGCCTTAATCACTTTACTTATTTGTCAATGGACTGTTAAAGTGAAGGTTAAACTAAGTGGAAGAGAGTTATCTCCCCAGGTCCACTCCCAAATGGACTTCTCCTGGTATGTTCTTTTTTCATTACTGCTGTCAGTACTTGGTCACCCCCAAAAACCTGAGAGTCAATCAGATTCACACTGTCCCCCAACATCCAATCAATCATCAGGTCTTTCTCTCTTGCCTAATAAATATTTCTCAAGCTGTCATCATCTCCTATAATAAATATTTCTCAAGCTGTCATCATCTCTTACCTGAACTGTTGGAATGGACTCATAATTCCAGCCTTTTCCTCTTCAGATCCATCCTCCAGAGCTAGAGTGGATTAACTGAAATGTAGAACCCACCATATCATTCCCCGCCCCCCACTTTTTTTTTTTGGCGGTTGGCTGGTATGGGATCCAAACCCTTGACCTTGGTGTTATCAGTTCCACGCTCTAACCATGTGAGCTAACCAGCCAGCCTTCATTCTCCGCTTAACAGCTCCCCATTCCCTAGTTTCTCAAGCAGGCAAATGAGTGCTTCCCAGAGTAGATCAGAGCCCTGAATTACTCAAAGCCATAGAGTAAATATAGTGCATTTACCTGGGGTTTTCAGTTTTTCTTGCTAGAAACTCATTTAAAACAGTAATTCATCAAATATTTGCTGAGCACATACTATGTGCTAGGCTTTGTTCTAGATGCTAGGGATATAGCAGTAAGCAAAATATAAACTGGAGCTTTCATTCTGGTGAGATAATACAATAAGCATAATAAATATTTTATGTAGTATAGAAGATGACAGTGCTATGGCTAAAAACAAAAATTAGAGCAAGTCAAGAGGGAGTGGAAGTTCTGGGTGGGAAGATAGATTGCAATTTTAAACAGGATATGGAAGGAAAGCCTCAATTGTTCAGTGACCTTCAATCAAAGGCATAAAGGGGCAAGTATGCAAATATGCTGGAGAAAAGAGCCCCGAGCAGAAGGAACAGCCAGTGCAAAGACCCTGGGGCAGAAGAATGTCATGTTTGTTCAGGGAACAACAGGGAAGCCATATATCAAGAGTGGAATGAACAAAAGGAAGAATATGGGGAGATCAGGCTAGAGGTGGTATTGAGCAGAGTTGTGACTTGATTTAACCTTTTAAAAGGACTCACTGATGTGTTGAAACTAAATGTAGGGGGTTGAGGGTAGAAGCTGGGAGACTTGTTAGGTGTGGGAGGGGTGATAAGCAGTGGTCAGATTCTGGATATATTCTGACATTAGAGTCAATGGAATTAGGAGGCTGTTGAAATTGTCTATAGAAGAGGTGATGACTGTCTAAACTGAATGGGGAGGGTAATGATGGAGAAGAGACAGATTAAAATAAAGATGAAGAATGCAAAGCCAAGGTAAATCAGTATATTCCTAAGTTCTCCTGTCTGGCTTTCTGTGAAGAAGTGTTGATGGATTGGTTGCTTAGTTGCTTTTAAAAACCTTTGATGTTTTCTGTTTGTTTTTTATTCTTTCTTTAGGGAAGAGAACCTTCTCCAACTTATGGTCCAGGAACCCACATAAGGAGTTGGATTAATTACAGAGGCAGTATAGGGTTGTGGGGAAGTCAGACAAATCTGGGTTTGAATTCTTATTCTGCAGTTTACCAACCTTGGAAAGTTGTTTGAGCTCTCAGTGCCTTAGTTTCTTTGCCTGTGCAAGGGAATGATGATACCACTTTGTAGGTTAGTTGTGAAGATTAAATGAAGAGTGTATGGAAAGCTCTTATGCTGCTGGCACAAAACCTCAATAGTAATCCCAATTAATATTGGTCAGCAAATTTTCTGACACCCATCCCATTTGAGAGCCTAGTTGACTTTGTCTTTTATCCTTAATACTGGTAGTTTGACCCTATTGGTATACAATTTTTTTTCTTCAAAATTTAGTGTTACTGCTATTTTTAGTGTCTGGCATGTAGCACTAGCAGTTTAGTGTTGACCAACCAAATGTGGTGAAAGATGCTTCCTGCTGAGATGACAGATTTTGATTAACTTGTCCACTGCCGATATAGCTTTTGGCATGGAATGTGAGTGCTGCATGACCCCAAATTCACAAACATGATGTAAATTAAAAAGACATTTTTTAAGTAAGGCACTGTGGGAACAAGACAGAAGTTGAGGATAGTTGCTGTCTCCGAGGAATTTGCAAGTCAGGTTGAGAAGAGACAGAACATAAGAGCAGCTCACACACAGCAGTACGTGGTGGCTAATACAAGGATACTTCAAAAAGTTCATGGAAAGATTTGTATTATCTTTTAATTCTCTTTTTCCATGAACTTTTTGAAGTGCTCTCGTAGACTAGCAACAGAGGAGTAGCTCAGGCAGTGAGTACTTTAGGGGGCCAGAGGGAGGGATTCCCTGTGCAAAATTGACCGGAAGCTTCCCAGAGGCAGAAGGGTTCCTCCCATGGTGATTCCATTTAGGGGGATGTGGACGGTCTTCCTTCCTTCCACTCAGCAAAAGTGGGGTTTCTGAGGAAAGACAGAAGAATCTAAAAATGATCCAATCAACAAGTCCAGATTGTTAAAATTGACTTAAAAAAAATATGTCTGAAGTGAGAGAGAAAAAATAGTAACTTGTGTTTGTTATTATCTAAAAGAGAAGCACAAAAGGAAACCAATGGTATACATGTATCTGTATGTGCATGGACTTATACACTGTATAGATTGGTTAATCAGTGCAGGGGGGTGGGGGGGAGGGTGGACACAGTGATCCAGGATGAGGGACAGCTGGTGTAGAGGATTCCCAGTGGGTCTCCGGAAGCCTGGGCCTCCAGTATAGCTGGATCATCATTCCAGAAAGTTTTGTCTGCAGTTGTCAGGACAGGTGGCTAATGGCTGTGCCAGGATTAGGGTAGAACAGGCCACACCTGCTGTACATAGATATCCGATGACTGGCCCCAGGCTGTGAGTTTTTATTGGTTCTCTGCTCAGCAGTCTCTCCCTGTCATACCCAATTCATTCTCACATCTGGCGACTAAATCCTCTTCATCTGTATATGTTGGAGGATAAAAGCAATGTGGCCAGCCTGAATCAGAACAGGTCTGATTGGCCCTTGGGATGAGTGTATGGAAAGAGTTGGGAGCAAACAGCCTGGCAGCGGGTTAGTAATGGGAGGAAAAAGAACAGTGGCTTTTATTAATGGTCATTAAATGCCTGTCCCCCACACTTTAACGTGGTGATGGCCATGAAAATGCTATTGAGCTGATTTGTTGATCAGCTCTTCCACGGCTGTTAAACTGCTTGAAATTCCAGACTCTACAGTGGTTCTCAGACTGCAGACTCTGAAGCTTAGAGTATATCAGAATCCCCAAGAAACGTGTTCAAAGTGCAAAATTCCTGAGATTCTGATCCAATAAGTCCTGGCTTGAGCCTTGGAATCTGCCTTTTAATACCCCCAGGCAAACTTTTCTTAACTAGTAAGAAATATATCTACATTGCAGTCCTGGGTGTGTATCTGAAGCAAAAGTTTCACAAAACGATATTTCTGCTAAGTTATTTTCTATTCTGTTCTAGTCCAATCTTTTTTCTTTTTTAAAAAAAAAAAGGCTACTCAAATTCACTAAATTGATTTCACTACCCATCAATGAATCTCAGCCTATAGTTCCTAAATCCCAGCTCTGTGAAAGCCTTTAAGAAACCCTCCTGTCATCTTTCTATGTTCTGTAGCTTCCTTTCATTCATTTACTCCTTCAGCAAATAGTTATTGAGAATTAGGAATACAGCACTGAACATAACAGACAAAAGACCTGCTCTCACAGGACTCATACTGTACCTTATTCCCTAAATCCCAGTTTCCATTGTTTCTTCATTACTCCTCCCACACCCCAGTGGTAAGCAAGTCTTTCATAGAAATAAAGGGTTGTGGGGTTGAGGTGTACACTGGGGACCCTGTTTAGTTAAGCTGTGTTTTGTTTTTTTCAGTTTTGCCCACCTAGCCAAGAAAAAAAAGAAAATACCAAAAGCTGGCACAGTCTCTTGTTTTCTCATGGTTTGTGGGAAGAGGAAGGAGAACTCATCTGGGATGGCAAAATCTGTTTGTAGTTCCCCAGAAAGGAAGTGTGGGGTGTTGCTGCTCAAGCCAACAAAAGCAATCATGAGACAAGTGCCCCTCGACCTGAGAAAAAAAAAAAACAGTGGTGTGAAAACCAGGGCCTCCTCGGTGCCTGCTTCTCCTGCAATTATAAATTGATTATCCATGCTTAAAGAGAGGAGCAATTTTACAAGTGAGAATTTTTGTTATGGTTAGGATTACTTTGGATTTTCAATTTGAATGTGAGTGTAGGTGATGTTCTGAGAAATGAATCTGAGTTAGCACATTCTAGTGCACAGATCTAATGCACAGAAAAGGCTCCAACAAGCCCTGCTTCCCAGAGGAGTTTGAGAAGCATGGAAAGTGAGAAGATTACAAAAGTGGGAAGCTGGGTTTGCACCTGAG